AAAGATAATTTTATGCTAGAATTTCAAATACTTAAATCCAAAGGGTTCACTAATTCTGGTCTCAGCTTTTGAGTTTCAGCAGTACTAAATTCAACTGAAAACCTTCCTTACTACCTTTATCTATCTACCTTGAATTTAATTTTATCCTCAGATGCACAATGCATTGCAAACATCTTACAGTAGTTTCCTAGAAGTCTGCCACAGCCTGGGCAGCTCTTGTTTCCTGCAAGATTTTTCATTTATTTTGAAGAGGGATGACACGGAGTTTATCATTGTGCCAGCTCAGAGTTCCTCCACTGAGAACTGAAGAGAGCAGTCTCTAAACCATAGATGTTGTTATGAAAATTACAAGCCTCAGGTTCCTGTACAGCAGTCCACCCGGGCCCCTGACCCTCGGCAGGGTTGCTCAGAAGCATCTTCTAAGCAAGAAACAGAAGACTGAGATCTTGTTTTACCTTTCCTAGTATGTCTCTGTTCCTGTTTATTGCCGATTGAATTCATGAGAAGAAATCCATTTGACATTTTAAGATTTACTTTCTTGGATACATAGGTTTGAGCAGCTGCTGCTAACCTCCCCTACAGTTTTGAAGCCAGTTTGTTTTCAGTCAAGTTAAACCTTAGAGCCAAAACTGTCAAACTTGGGTGACTACATTCCACAGAGAGACATGAAAGCAATTGGACGGATTTTTGAGGATGAAAAACATTTAGAGTTTGGATCAACTCAGCACCTCCAAAACTCAGGCCATTCATTTAAGTGAGCAAATATGTATTTAGACTCCCAAACATAGATTTTTCTTATTTGCAAAGGCTGGTTAGTATTTTCAATTTCCCTCAACAGTGAACCGCCAGTCTCACAAACCTGTCCTGAAAACTGTTACCTTTTTCTTATTTTTTAACTTTGGAGCAAAGAAGACACATCTTTAGTGTAATGACTAAGTTTTATACGTATGTCAGAGCATAGGTAGAATGGGATATATCACAGAACAAGGTTCAGGAAAATACGCAGACTATCACTCCGAGAAGGCACTCGACCTCAAAAGCACACGCAGACACAGCCACCCAGGTGAGCTCATCCCGAATCTGACATATTATTGTCACTAAGCAGATCTGAGCAATATAAGGGATCTTGCTAGACTAGATCTGCGCCTTACTGTGCAGCAGTGCAAATCCCAAATGCAAGAGCATCTCTGCAAAGGTAACTTTAGCTTAAATGTCGTCCAAGTTTAACTCATACATAGGATCTTAACTCTATCGTGGTGAATCCTGTGGTGCTAACTAGCTGGCCCACTAATGGATGCAGTCTAATAATTGATCTCCCTGTAGCAGGGACATATGTTTGCTCCATGGGAAAACTTCAAGGGTATACAGTCCTTCAGTGCCTTCTGCTCATCTAAAGAGGTCAGCCTTTTCTTATAAACAATTAACTGGGAATGTTTTGTTTTGTTTTGTTTTGCAGTTTACTCTAGTAAAGAAATCCATAGGATGCCCATCCACAACTGTTAGTGTTACATACAAACACAGCGTGGACAAAACAAACTCTAGTGTTATTTCACGGTGTGGTTGCTTTCATGGAAGCAGAGCTTATACAAACAGAGTAATTCAAGCACGGATAATGCATGTAAGACACATCCATCAGTGGTGCAGAGGAAGTGATTTTACTCTTGCTTTGTTTTCACTTAGGTCTCTAATTAAGAAAAGTTAAGCTAAACAAGTTTGAACTGGATTCAAAGTGTCAGCTTCAGAGATTTTTTTCTAGTTTACATAGATCAAATAAAATTAATTGATGTAAACTTTTGGAAATTTTCTAGTGAGAACAAGATCATGTGTGTAGTAGCAAATATGAGCACAGACTGCAAAAACAGATTCCAGAGCTTACATCACCTCTTTTTGCGATGTCTTATACTTTTATATCATATGGCCATCTGCAGCTAAGTGGAGCTGGCCATCCAACAAAGGGACTAGTCAGGTCACTGAAATATGGAGTTGCCCTTTGCTTGTATTTGGATAACTCTGATGGATAAAACATTGTTGAACATTATTCAGGAATGACATCAAATGTTTTGCCTCCCTACACAAAAAATAGCAGTCTAGACTGAGAGGAGGCTTTCAGCATTCTTATTTTCTACTCAACTTTGCTAAAAAAACCCTTTTTGAATTAGTTATTAAATGAAGGCATTTAAAAATACTAAACCAAAGCTGCATTTAAATCTCAAATAAGGATGAAGTACCAGTGGAAAGAGGAAGGATATTTCCCCCATTTACCACAGTACCTACTCTTTTTGAAGGTGATTAACTGTTGAATGCTCTAATATTAAAAGGATTCATAAAAGGTATTTTATTGTGAGGATTCCTGATTTAAAGAGGTGCTTTAGGAAATAATCAGCTCTTTTACTATCCTGTTGAGATAACTATCTCTCTGCCACTGTAAGATCAAGTAGTATTCATATCAAAGTAAGCAAGGTTATGGTATACAATCTCAGAATAAACTGTGTGGAAAGCAGCTTCTAACATTGTATCATCGACACAGTAAAAATATATGCCATTAATGGAATGTACTTACAAAGACAACAAACAAATATCACGGGTAGGCTGCTTAGGAGAAATGGGCTTCATCACTATGTCACCATCATATTCTTCTAACTTAATACAACAAAAATAACTTTGATGAGTCAATTAAGAACATGATTGCAGAATAAAAACACTTGGGTCTTCTTTTTCAGTGTCAGTCTGTGCACATTGGATCAATTGCCTCAGTTCTTAAACTGCTTGCCTTTTGTCACACTGTATCAACCAAAATAGGCAGAGGGACTTGTGCTAGATGTCTCTGCTTTAAAAAGGAGGAGTCTTGCAGGGGGTGAATTTCAGAGGAGTCACCCCAAATTTGGAAACCATTCCCTGTAGCAATTGGTTTATCCAGGCTATTTTTGTTTGAACCTGTCCTTAGAGATTTCAAAAGCTAGTTGTTCTACTAGGTCTGACAACAAGGCTCTGAAAAAGACACATTTTAACTCTAAACATCACCTAATAAATCCAGAACCTAAAAACTATAGCAGTATTCTCAGTCCAAAGGTCATGAGGAAAACACTCTGACCTGCTACCTAAGGTGGCTCAGTATGGATCAAAAAACATGGGTTCCTAAGGAGAAACAGCTTAATCGATCTAATTTTAAGTCTATAGTACTCTGCTTACAATATACTGATAAAAGGATTGAACCCAACAGCCAAAGTGTCTCACAGATGTATCCTGAGAAATTAACTTGGATCTCATCTGAATAGGATGAGCTCAGGAATTGTATGGTCCCACTGAGCTCCCCGGAGATCAGGGAAAATGTTACCTTATCTAGCATTAACCATGTCAGCACTCTGAGTGAGACAGTCATCCCCTTCTAAGCCCAGGCTACCCAGCCTGCAGCATGAGGAGAAAATCTCCCAGCAGAGGCCATACCTGTACACAGGGACCTCAGTGTCATCATGAAAGGGAATCTTAAAATCAGTAGAGGTTTTCTCCTATATATCCTGAAGCTGGGGCATAGAAGTCACACTCCTTGGCCTATGTCTATGCGATTCTTGGTACTCTCTTACTCAGCCAGTCTCTAGAGTCATATACGAATAAGTTAAATGAGTCAGAGAAAGTTCCTGGGCAGGGGAAGTCCACCAGCTATACTTTAAAATTACAGTTAGAATAGTTCAGAATAGTTGGAATAGTACCAGGCACAGCTTTGGTCTGTGCCATATAGAACTTTGCCAAACATAGTTCAAGAATTAGTATAACCCTGGCAGCACTTCCAGCAGGCAGTGTGGATGGGGATGTTCTTTGCTGAAGGGTAAGAGCTTTATCAGTGTAGTTGAAAGTCACTCTGTGACAGTTGGCCTCAGTGCCAGAACAGGGCCCCAGGATGCTTTGCTTACCACCAAACATAGTCTAAGTGCCTGCCAACTGAAGACATACTTGGCCTCTCCACAAATTCAGGACCAGATGTGAGACATTCTCCAAAGGTCTGGAGACACTGAGAGAGTGGATGATGAGTCAGACCACTTCATCCACCCTCAGAACTCCAGGGTACTCTCTGACATGCCTCTGGAGATCAATACCTTGTCCATGGGTGCTGCTGTTAGCCTGAGTTACATTTGTTGATGCAAGTGAGGCAATTATTGCTTTCCGTGGCTATCAGAAATGCAAATGGAAGCACCATGGAGCACAGGATTGCTGCTGTTATAGGCAATATGAAAATGAAAAGGGTTATACATCTTCCCACTTAGCTGTTCATTTCCACAGTCATAATTTTCAGATGAAAGGGTATGTCCTACTGCATTCCTAACTTCCAATAAACAGAGATATGTTTTTTAATAAATACATACTGTGGCCCATATAAAGTACAAATCATGCCCCTTGCTACTATGCAATAAACCTCCTGGTTACCTTTTATTTAATTAATCATTGCATAGTGAGATTTTTATTTTAACATCAAGTCACTTCTTAACTATTAGAGCTCACTCCCTGGAGAGAAATGTCCCCAATTATCATAATTATCATATAGTTCAGCTACTGTAATTTTATATTATGCATTTAACTTCTGCCATCATAAAATGTGAAGTGCAAAGTACACATGATGTGCCCTCCTTCACAACTTAACAGTAGCATCACCTACTTCCTAACTTTGCACACCTTTTTTGTACTTTCAACATGGAATTGCATTAACACTAGCCATTCTTCCCTGTTACCAAAATAAGAGAAAGCATTTGTTTGTTTCAAAACCACTTGCTATAAACCATTCCTTCATCATGGCAACCATTCAAAAACTGTGTACTCAATTAGAAAAACTCCCATTATGAAATCATCATAACAGGCTAGTTTGTGAACTTTTCTTTTGGAGTTTACATGTATAAAAACTTCTCAAACAAAAGTCTTCTGTTTATAGAGACATTCAATCAACTTGTGTGACTTTCTCCACTTATCTTTAAGAAGCAGGAGCTGTCTCTGTTACAACAGCACTGACATACCAGGTCTCCTCCCAGCAATAGTAATGTATTAGATGCTTCCTAAGAAAGAATGGTTCCTCTGCAGTGGTAGTCTACTTGCCAGATGAGTTATCGCAGAAATTCACTTTGTGAATATACTTATTCTCCTCTGTTTTCTTCAGAAGTTTTTCTAGATATTTACTTGAGGAAAGATCAGGATAGACCACAGCTAGAAATTCTAAGATAATCTTGCCACTTGAAACGTTGAATTGTATTTTTCATCTGTATTTTGTACTTTTGATATTAGATGCTTCAAATCCTTGTTTAAGCAACCTAAGGATGTACCTAAGAAATTGTTTCTGTGCATTTCTGAATAAGAGTTTTCATTCTCAGTCTTGTTTATTTATGTGTTTTGGACACACACTATAGCTTACTTTCTGCTACAGGCTTCTGTCCCATCACCATCATCTGTTTAGTTTTACTCTTAAATGCATATTTGGAATTGTTACTTAAGAGAGAGTATATTTCGTCAACATCATTTTCTGTTCTACTTTACTCAGTTCTGTTTATTTTCTTTCCATATCTTCACTTCCATTTCTTTAAATATCGACTTAGCAATTCTTTAATTCTTAAGGAAGAAAAAAGACAGACATCTCTACTGATTTGTGGTAGTATTACTCATAATGTACTCTATATCTCCATGCAATAAAATAAATTTAAAAAACAGATTTTATTCTAAATCAAGAAAATCTACCACAAATAAAACAACAACAGCTTGTTAGCAGAGAATGAGAATATTGCTGTGGCACAAAGGTTTCTAGATTTTTCCAAAGGCATGTAAAACAATGAGATAGTGGTGTGAAAAGGAAGAATCTTCAGATATGGAATATGGAGGAAGGCTCAAGAATGTGAATTCACTTGGAGCTACTAAAAATATTATCATATTCCAACAGTAACGTTTTTATAGATTAAAATCCTAAGTACAACTGGCAGTCTAAGGAGAAGTTATTTTGAAAAGATGAGCCATCTTTTTATAAAATTGGTTCCGATTCTTTGAAAACATTTGGCTTCCATCTGCTACAAATTATGAAGGGAGTGCAGAATAGGTACAAAAGAGTGAATATTAATTATTCTTTTAATTCTTTTCATTGATTTATGGATATGATCTTATTTGTTTTAGCATAAACAAACACTATATAGTCTGGTGCAATGAGCATATTTTTAAGTAAAAAGAAGATACTTCCCTGCACACTCTCTTTTACAGCTCCTCTTTTGGGTCAGCTTGTTCAGACATCTTTAGCCAGGTTCAAAAATGCTGTAAGCAGCATATACATAACTTCATATTGTAAATAAACTATTTATTGGCAGCGCCCACAAAACGTAGTTAGGATTTAATATTTAATCACTACTGTGCTTGCCATCCTAACAAAGCACCTGATGAATCTCTGCTGCCCAGGCAGGCATCAGTCATGGGACAACAGGCCGATCTCCAGGGCTCCTGAGGATGGTCCCTCATCATGGTGGAGCTGCCATCTTCTACCTCAAGCTGGAGGTCTGTGGCCTGAAAAAAACCCATTAATTGATCATGGAAATGCTTAGGACCTGGTTTTAAAATCTCTTCTTGTGGTGAATGGTATTGAATAGTGTGTCATTAATGGCAACAACTTTGTTCATCAGATAAGAAGTTCTTTAAAGAAACACTGCAGCACAATCCTGGTCTTGGCTCAGGAGAATGGAATCCTCCCGTTTTCACAAATATGTCCAGGTTCAAAAAATGCAGTGCTATGTACATTCAATTTTCTTATAATCTTCCACTCTACATTTCCATTAATTTTCTTCACTGATCTTAACTTCTGAAGATTCCTAAATTTTACATTTTTCTGAATACCATATTCCCTAACAGTAACAGCAGTGCCATTACTCAGTGAGAGTGATAAGCTGTTCTGTGTATTCTATCAGTAAAAAACCAAAATCATCTAGAACTAAACCTTAACTGAGAGATCTACTGAATATTACAGAGAAGATTTAAGAATTTGGAAAAGTCCCCTAATATTTGAAAGGAGAAGACTCACTCAGATATGTTAATTCATTTTGCTACATTTGTTCTACTACAGGAGTGAAGAAGCAAAATATTTATCATCCAATTTCCAATATGAACATGAGAAGACAAAAATTTGATTTTTCTTAAGAATGTCAAACAATTCCGATTTTGTACGTCAAATATTTGCATTAATCTGAGACAAAATCTGAAGACCATTGTGTGTTTGTGAACATTCTCAAAATAATTAGAAGGTGCTTAAAACCTCTTTCAATATACCTAAATAAACAATTTAAAGTAACAATTAAACTACACATAATTTGCAGAAAATTTTAAACAGAAAAAGAGAACAAAAATTTTGTTTCCCTAAGCCTGTTCCTCATTGCAAGGCCAACTATTTGCAGTCTCCAATAAAGTATTTAAAATGTGAACACTAACCTCAGTATGCTTTACCAAGTAATTTCTCATTTAATTTTATGTAACAGAAGAGTTACAGGTAGTTGACTCCTCTCCCCTTTTTCTTTTAGTGTTTGAAACTGTAGTTTTTATTTTGAATAGTATCACATTTTCCCTGACAACTTCATTTTGAAAAAGACTTTTTTCCTGAAGGCTTATTGCATTGAAAAATGTATTTTTTTTCATATTTGCTCAGAATCTCTAGATTTCAACAGAAACTCTCACTGAAAATCCTGTTTCATTAACTTTTTTTAATGTATCCAGAAGAAAGTAAAAGTAGTAATCACATCCCAGGAGACAGTGAAGTCCTCTCCCAAAAGATATTTTACAAGCTTATGCCTTTTTATTTTTTTTTTTTTTAAGCAAATGGAAATAATGTAATCTGGTTAAATCATATTGTATATCTAAGTATAGATTGACCTTTCCATGTAACTTTATGAATGACTGAGAAGGCTTGGCCAGAGAGACAAAATGTCTGACATCTTTAAAATATGCTGGAGCCTACTTACCTCTGCAAGGTTCAGGATAATTTGCTGCCAGCCAACCGTGTCCAGCTGGATTGTGGCAGCACATTATAAATGACACATGACTTATGTCATCAGTAAGTAAGTAAATCAGTCAGTTTGTGACTCTGCTCACAGAAGTTGGAGATTCCTTTTCTTTTCCGCCTGAAAATCTGCAAACTTTCTCCCCTGTTTCGCCTCCCATTTTGAAACAGAATTATCATAATCTGAGAAATACAGTTGCTTGCTGCAGATGTTTAGATTTAGGCTGACATGCAGTATTAGATTCTCACATGTAAGGAGGTGATGATTCAGACAGTTTCTACTGACACTTATAATAATCTTAATTACATGTGCTATTTCACGAGTTAGCTCCAGACTGCATCATTTGCCCTCTTAAGTGCTTTCTTTGGTGGTTGAAGATGGCAGAGCAAGACATGTCAAAATGGAGACTGCCTTTCTACCTGCAGGTCAAATTGAGAAGAGAAAGTGTTCAAAAATGCTTCCTACTCTTCTCCTCAGGATTATTTCCTGCAGTTGGAACTTGGCCCAAAGCGGTCAGTGGCTGACAGGTTCTCCAGGCAGACATAAAACACTTGTAAGCAAAACTATATTCCAGGTGCAAGCTTAGTTCTCCAAGAGCAGAGTACTATTTCTGCATTTGGATTAGCTCTTGCACTGATGTATGAATGCCAAAGAAGCTTCCCACGCTTACTTCCCTCTCCAACCACACCCACACAAGATTATTGTGGACTAAGTTCTTCTACTTGTCCAGTAGAACAACTTCCAGCCGTCATGCTGACTGAGTCTTCAGTACTGGCACCCACAGGGTAAACCTTAGGTATTGCCTCGTTGCTGTAGTAAGAGAAAAGACAAAAAGAGTGATCAATTCTTTCCTCAGAACATCTGGGTAAGACATCTGTAGTATATTAGATGTGTGGTTTTGCTGGACACTTTATAGCCTTGACACAGATTCAATACAGGCACATGAATTCTGTAAAGTGTTCTACAGCAGAAAACTGCAAATTATTTTCTTTGTTATTTGAATATAATGGCCAGAAAGTAAAAGCAGTGCTTCGTGCCTTTTTTTTTTTGTCTTAATCCAGATCCAATTTGTCATTCTCTTTCCTTGTTATTTCTGGTAAAAAGATGCATTGCATGTATTTCTTTAGACCTTCTGTACAAGCCCTGATGACTCAGAAGCTTCCGCTGCTGCGGATGTTTTAAAACCTGAAATCGTTTAAGTCATAATTTCTTGTACTTCATTCTTTCAGAGACTGGTTCAAAGCCTGTTAAAGTTAAAACTTCCTTTTCAGCTCTGAATTGGCTGGTATTTTGGTCATTATTTTCATTCTGAGGGGAGAAGAAATTTAATTCTGAATAACCACCTTATCCTTTTTAGAGCATCTCCAAAGGAGCATGGAAAAGTGTCCAAAGACACTGAGAGAATCACTTTTATTCTCTAACTTTTCAGCTCCCATCCAGCTCTCAGAAGGTAAATGCAGTCTCCTCTCAGACTAGTTTGTGGCCAAGGTGCCCATGTCCTCAACAACCTGGTCTTCTCAGCAGCATGTCTGGAACCACAGTGCTCAATGGGACAGTGCTTAGTCATTGACCATCATACACCCTGCATGAATTTTAATCCAGCAGGAAAGGCGTGAGGCCACAGGAAGGTGCATGCCAGCCTTAAAAACAAAATGGAGCTTGCAGTCTGACAAACATACGGACAGAGTTCACAACCTCCAGCAGCATCCATAAACTGTACAATGGCAAATCCCTCGTGTTGTCCCAGGAGGGCATGCTCTGAGATGTATTTTCTGGTTATCTGGTGTCTATTCCCTTGCTATAAACAAACCTTGGGAAGCATATACAATCTGAAAAATTACTGTTTTCACCTGTTTACCGAATATATGCATGTATCCAGCCCTTAGAATAATCAATAATGAAAAGTTTATAAATCTGAACAGGTTCAGAAATGGGAATAGCAATAAATTTCCTTCTGCATGATGAAGGGATGAAACTTCTACTTCTCTGTGTCTATTTGCATTTCTGGTTCTATTTTGGGCTGTTTCCAGGGAAGGGAGGCTGTTCCCTAATCAGTGCTGACATGATTCGATCAAGGTCACTGTGTCTAGGCCAGTCCTTAGGGCTCTTTTATTTAGAAGTATAGGCACAATTTCTAGATATAATGCCAGCTCTGACTCAAAGATGCTGCTAGGATCAGTAATAACATTAGTTTAATTATACAAAGACCAAAAAAGTCTGATGCAAACCCTAGTCTAAAGGACAGCTCCAAATGATTCTATTATTGAAATACTGAATCAGCAACAGCAACAGTGATAAACATATGGAGGCAAAGTGTATGGTAGACAAATGACAAAGACACATTACATACTCTAAAAGCACTTGCCAACTAAAAATAGGCCCAGACACTACGTTTGGATCTCTTTGGGTTGATTCTTGCAGGTATGTGGTATAAAACTATCTTCAGATGCCTCCAAATTACATCCATACAAGTACTCTTTCTTTCTGAAAACCGGCTAGAAATTCAGTGGGGTCTACTCAAGCACATAAATTATGGCAGAGCTGGAACATAATACCGCAGAAAAGAATGTTCCCCAAAATGCCTTGCAGTGCTCAATGATACCCATAAGCTGTGGTGGGGGAAAAAACCCAATAAACTAGCAACTCTCAGACTGCGAAGAAAAGATGAAAGAGATGTGATCCATAATACTGTGAAAATCTGTGTAACACCTTCTTTCAAGGAGAAGAAAAGCTGTGGTAAAGAACAAAACAGAAGGCACTGCTTTACAAGCAAAGATCTCTGGCTATTTTTGATTCACCTTTACTAATTTTTTGCTCAATCCAAACCACTTTAACTATAAAACGAAATATGATGCCTCTGTATTGTTGTTATGTAAATTTTCTTTATTTTTATATTTGATAAATAGTGTTGGAATAATGATTCTTGAAATCTCTCTCACAACAGACTTGATTGACAGCCCCCGAAGTGCTGTGCCTTTTATAGTGTAACATAATTGACAACCCTTAGGTAGCTGGTGTATGCAGTCTATGAAATGAAGTGTGCTCGTTCCACATTTGAAGAAAGGTAGGTGCAATGAAATAGTTGTTCTTATTATTAGCCTTTTAAAGTAGAATTTATGTGTTTGCATTAAAGAAAACATGACTTCTGGATATATCAGCCTCAAGCGTTTCAATAGTGATGAAGAAGATCAATGCAAAACAATTTCTGTGTCAAAAAGCACACACATGTCATAAAATATCCGGAAATTACTTAACTGGAACAGAGTTAAAATACTGCTGAATTGTCTGCATTTTTAACATGCATTTTGTTTTTTTTCTAACACATACTGATCAGCTTCTGAAACACAAAGCTTTCTGTCAAGCCATCCTTCTCCAGTGCTCTCCACAGCCAAGAATTCCAATTTTTTGTTCAACGCTGGACCTGGGTGTTCCTAAACTTCCCTGGGTCTAAAGAAAATCCAGAAAGTGCTCCTGGTTAGGCCCTGAGAAACGTTCTTGGCATGTAGATGCTCTTAACATCCTCAGACTCTGCCACCCAACCACTCAGCCCCTAGACAGGCACTGGTGATTGATGTCCCTTTTGGCACATGTGCCCCAGAACTTCAGCCAAAGTACTTACAGCTTAAGATGGGAAAGAGAATAGAAAATAGTTTATAAGAAGAATAACTTTAGTTCAGAATTCCTAAACAAATCTATTCTTTTATTTATGTGTAGAGAAAACTTAAAAAATTTAGGTATTTCTTCAGAAATGGATTTGGATTAGGAATCTTGTGAAGTTTTAACTCTCCTACAACTATTTGCTTTGTCTTCTGATGCATGAAGTCCCACCATCTCTGCTGCAGGTTAGCTTGTTCTGTTGCAAGGCAGAAGATCCTGCTACATCCTCCATCATATTCTGACCTCTTCTCCTGCATGAGTTTCTTTTATATCTAAGCCTAAGATATGGTCTTCAGTTCATTACCAGTCAGGAGACTTTATCAGGGAAGTATCTCTGTGTATCTGCCCTGTCTTTATACTTTTATGTAAGCATGTATCACTGGCAAAGGGAAGCCATCAGGCTCAATGGACCTTTGGTCTGACCCAGTACTGCCATTCTTGCCCTCTCTTCGACTGCACGAGGCAGTAAGCTGGACAGCCACATACCTCCATCACTGTCACAGGGACACCTCTTCCTCAACCAGCTGGTTTTCATGCTACCTATACCAGTAACCTGAACTCATGCTATCTACTGCAAAAGAACACCCTGAATCTCACTTCAGGACTATCTGCATGTAGAATGGTAATGTAAGCAATCAGCAACTTTGGACTGAAGCTCAGCCTTAGGTTTGTGCTCAGGAATCTGCACATACTACAGATGTCCCTCAGGCTCTCCCCTGACCCATGCATGTGACAGGCTCAGCCTGGTTTCCTCATTTCGCATTCAGTGATTTTTCATTTCAGAAACCTCAAGCCCCACACAAAGGCACCATTTTATTAATGTCAGGCCATCCCTCAAAGACAGTACTCCAAAGCTTTTATCATCCCAAATCATATGCTTACCCTCATTACTCAAGTCTAAAAACAAAAGCAGGTAATGTGATGTAGGCAACAGTCCCCAGTTCTGTCATTGCATAGACCATGATTAGCAATCTACATGAGGAAATGGGCAACCAGGTTCACAACTGGAACAGGTATCCAGAGTTGGGCTCAAAAAGGACATCCTGCCACACAAGTGACTAAAGTTCCTCAGAGTGCTTAGCAAAGTATTGGGGTAGTTTACATGGATTAAGTAAGCACCTACAGTCTGTCAACTAAATGCAGAGATAGAAAGAGAAGCCCTTTGGAGTTAATCCTGGAATAAGCAGATTAAACATGGCTTTCTTGCATTTCCCTCTACCTCTGTCTCAACAAACTTTTGACAGAGGGATGGGGTGTAGGTGGCTGAGCATGTAAATAACCTCTGCTCATTTTTATCCTACTTTGGTTTGTGCAAAAAACTGATTTTGAACTGGCGAACCCAGACTCCTGCCATTTGTGCAGAAGTAGCAATCCTTCCATTAGAAGGAATCTTTCTGAAACATACTGGCTGTGGCCACCACAGAAATACATTTCCCTCAAAGCATCCCAACTACATGCACTCCCAATCAGTCTAGAAACTACTCACTCAGGCATCTCTGTACAAGTGTCTTCCAGGGGCAAGCAAGCCCAAGTAAGCTTTTTGGCAGCAGCAGGATTCTTGGGAAATACACCTGAAATCTTTGCAAAAATCTTGCACCTTGAAGGGGTAGCCATTAATTTATAAGGGCTGACAGCTGTAAGGATCAAAGAGAGACATAACATGGCCCCTGTCTTTAATTGCTGGACTCCACATACACCAAGGTCTTCATTCAGCAATATGCAAGAACAATTCTGTAACCTCCAGCTGGACTGTCTGAACCCCAATATCTTTGAAATCATGCTCCAGATTGCAAAAGTATTCAGGATTTTTTTCACAGTGGGCATGCGAGTAGACACATGTAGGAAGTCAAGGGCGTTGAATTTACATCAATTAGCTTCCAAGTACAAGTGGACGATACTTTATAGATGGCCTGCTCCTTAAATTTAATTTACAATTAATTACATGTAGCAAATAAAAAACCTTCACCCAGTGGTGCTCTGCTTCAGCAGAGCTGACGGGTGAGAGTTAACAATTGCTCAGCGCAGTGAGGACCGAGGAGCTCCTCTGCTGCTGAACAAAGCCAAGCTGCAGGGCGACAGATGGCAGATGAGATTCACCACGGGCCTTGAAAAGGCTGTACCCATTGCTGGCATTCTCCACCCCTTCAGCTCT